GAATTATCACTCTTTTATTTATTAATACATTTTAATTTTTAATATTCTCCAAAGTAAATACAGTCCGTGCATTGGATGGGTTACATACTAGTAAATCAAAAGACACGTGTCCGCCTCCGTGCATAATTACTACACTATTGTCTTATGTGCAACGTTATTATAATTATAAAGTCTATTAATATATAATAAGGATTAACATAATTCACTTTTAGAAATACTTTCCTGCTAATTTCATTACTTATTGACTAAAAATAATAAATTAACAAAATCTTTATTTATTAGCATATCTTTTTATCCATTTTTTTAGGAATACAATAAAAAAATATGGAATCAAGATCAAAATAAATCTAAGAAATACACTTATCATACTTAATACACTTAATGTAAAAAATACGCTTACCATACGTTTTTTAAAATTTTGTAAAATACAATATAAAATATTTAATTAATAATTATCAATTAAAGATTCAATTTAAGAATCAATCATATTTCTAATATAATTGTTAGAAATAATTTATATATATTAGTATTTACGTGAAAGTAACATATATGTTAACTATATGTTAATATATATGTTAATCTTATATAACAAGTATTGACATAAATCAAATTTAGAAACAATTTCCCGCCACTTTCATTAATTATCTCCAAAAATAGTAAATCGTCTTTTTCATTTTTTTTTTATTAATAACATCAAATACTTTTGTATTAGTAACCAATAAGGAATCAAAATCTGAATAAATCTCCTATTTTTTTCAAACAATTTGGAAATCCGAATGTAAATCCGAATAAATCATGATTTTAGAAATCGTGATTTCAAAACAATTTGAAAATCCGAATAAATCTTCAAGGAAGATCATGATTTGTATATATCATGATTCTAGAAATCTGTTCAAAATTTTCTTTGCATGAATCTGAATCATAATTCATTCAGCCTATTATTATATTATTAAATTGTTTGAAACAACATGCTAAGATTTGTATTTATCAGATTTCTAAAATCATGATTTGTATGTATCATCTTTTCACCAATTAGACTTTTTTTCTTCATTATCGATTAGAAAAGGAAAACAAATTTTATATACCTTATTGGTTTTGATAATACAATGTTTATAATCATTATCATTATTTATTTTAAAATATAGTGTTTGTCATTTATTCGATTTCAAAAGATGAAAATTTTTTCATAGTTTAGGTCTCTTTTTATTTATGCATTTACACAAATTAGTTTAAGAACTCTAATAACGATTGGCAACAAAATTTGTTATATATTGATTCAAACCAACTAATTAGTAAAAGAGTCCATCAATCACGAAATTAGAAAATAACACACGATCACTACATTTCAAAGATTAAGTTTTTAAGATAAACTTTCATTTATATTGTCATGACTATAAACAAGAGTGAGTGTTAATCTTAGAAATTTGATGATTTCAACTTCTATATTTTCAATGGTTTTTTTACCGTAGAAATTTTCATTGGAATATGCAAATCCGGTGGAATTTTTATTTCCACCCCGTTGAAAAATCCACCGTTGGAATCGTCAAAATCCAACGGAAATTCCAATCTAAATTCATTCCAATTCTGTTGGAATTGTCGTTGGAATAATTTCTTTTGGAATAGATTTCCATTGGAATTTTATCATTTTATTGTAGTGTGCCCAATAATCAAACTAATAATGTTGTTTACAATTAGGTTTTTAATAACATATGATTTTTTCATACACGAACATTTTATGAGCATTTTCCACCCAAAAAATTAATCACCTACTGTAGATGGAAATAATATAAAATGATCTAAATAAAATAAATCATTAATTGCATAATTTTCATATAACTCGATTTTCGGTTTGTGTTTGTTTTAGTAAATTCTTGGTTTTGTTTAATTACGTTGATAGTGGTTTTGTAGGTAAAGATTATGTAAATAATTATATGTAGCCGATTTTAGAACTCTTATTTATCAAGGATTCTTTTTTATTTTAATAGATTTATTAGAATCATTGATTTGGATTAGAATATATATTACATACACACAAAAAAAACACAATTTTATAATAATATTTAAATTTACATGGCGTCAATTTTGGAATTCTTATTTGTGAGGATTCTTTTTTATTTTATCATATTTATTAGAATCAACAATTACAAAATATAAATTTATATTAATATCTAATTTTATTTTTTATTTTTTTTCGAAACGAAAGAGGTATTATATAACTACTCAAAAGGAACCACGAATCCAATACAAACGGGGCCAACAGCCAAAAAGAAAACTGAGAGGACACGCTAAAAAGCGGCCTAGATAACCCTTAGACAGGCGAAAAGCTAGCCAAACTAGAATAAAACTGACTCAAACACAAACGACACAAGACACTAGAAACGCTCCCTACGTGAGAAAACACACAAAACACTGGAAACGCTCCCCACGGGAGAATTGGGACGGCCCCCAAGGGGTAATCAGAACAGAGGCCAACGGTCCAGACCAAAAACACACGAACAAAACAGAAACCAACCACAAAAAAACACAAACTAAGCAGACACAGAAACAAACAAACATACACAAAACTAAAAAGAAAGGCCCTTCCACAGCAGAACAACCGGCCCTAACCAGTAGAGAACGACCAGAATCGAGAAAAGATCCAAGATTAGGGGACAGACTTCCGAAACTGCTGAAAAGCCTATACGAGAAGACGAACCCGAACACAAATCAGTCTCCGAAACGGCCCACCTCAACCGCTGGGACACCGAAACCACACCCACTCTAGCACCGCCCGAACACGTCTAACACCACTAGCCGAGCATCGGAGCACCAGAACCCCGCCGACTATCACCACTAGTCGGAACAGGGGGTAGCGGTTCAGGCCCTCGGCTCCGACACACCGTTAGAGCCCCGCCCC